CGGACTATTTGAGATCATGAAAATCATTGGGACATCTCTTTTTGCAACCGCTATAAAGCAAAAAAAAAAATTTTTAAAAATATCCGTTAATATATGACGGATTTGCAATAAATTTAAATTTAAATCTCTTATATTCCGGTATATACATATCCAAATTTGACAATTTATTGTTTATTTACAAAATCTATATTAAAATCTGCATAATCTATTTAACATTATATATATAAATTTATTTATCTAATAATCAGATTTCTAAAATAAGCAATTATTTTTGAAGTTCTATCATTTTATATAACTAAAATATGCGGTAAGTGAAAAGACTAAGTGAATAATGTATATATCTCCGGATATAACAGACATATATTCAATTTGCATGCATTGGATTTTGTGTTTGCATGCATATAATTTTGTTAAGCCATGGAAATAAATATACAGTAATAAGTTTATGAAGGCAATCATGGCTTATTCGGTTGTATAATAAAAACTAAATTGTCTACTAAAAAAAATAATAATGAATAAGCTCTGCACATGTAATCACACAAAATTGTTCGTAAAAACTAATAAAAGATTGGATTAATCAATATTTAATTAAATTGAATTATTTTAAATATACTATCTTGAATTGATACGGAACCTTAAACATGAAGAGTCTAAATAGTAACTAAATTCACAAAATCAATAAACCTAATTGTTTTTCTTTCCGTCGTCATCTATTTCCTCATCATCTCCATCTTCAACAGTTGTACGAAGATCTCTATCCTCTTTTCCTTTATCTTCATCCTCTTCTTCATCATCCTTCTTCCTGGGTTCCCATGCCCAAAGTGGAATAAAACTATCGATAAAGCCAACGTCCGCAAATAAGTTAGGAAATATCCATATGCCAGGAGGTACGACTATCATCGTGATAATGAACAGCACAAGTCTGACCACAGCAATGATCATGAACACTCCAAAGAGACATAATATAGCCACTGATATGTACCAAACCATATCTCGTAATATAGGTGGCCAAAGAGGAAACAATACTGCAGCAAAAACGATTCCTATTAACCCAAACCCACCCAAATAATTCATCAATTGTGATCCTTCATAAA